AAACCCCTAAACCCTAAGACCCCTAAAAACCCTAAAACCCCTAAAAACCCTAAAATCCCTAAAAACCCTAAAATCCCTAAACCCTAAAACCCCTAAACCCTGAAACCCCTAAACCCTAAAACCCCTAAACCCTAAAACCCCTAACCTTAAAAACCCTAAAACCCCTAAACCCTAAGACCCCTAAAAACCCTAAAACCCCTAAAAACCCTAAAATCCCTAAAAACCCTAAAATCCCTAAACCCTAGGCCGGCTACAGGGTTTTCTTTTTGCGATGTCGGATCTGGGGCTCAGGGTTGGTGGCTTACGCTTCGCGCCGTATTGCTCAGGGTTTACGGTTTCGGGGTTTAGGGGTTAGGGGTTTAGGGGTTTAGTTTAGGGCTTAGGGCTTTGGGTTTAGGGTTTAAGGTTCGGCTGTGGGGTTCAGGGCATGGGGTCTATTTCGTGTAGTGGTATCTAGACTGTGGCTGGGAAGTGTTCGAGCGCTTCAGGTGATTTCAGAATGGAACTGCTCCATCCGACGTTGAAGATTTTTCGGTCCGGGCCTTCATGGACGACAAAATTCTAAGTGCATCGCGAGCATTTACGTCGTCCACAACGCCATCATCATCAGCATCCACCACTTTGAGCAAATCCTTCATGGCATCTGAGACCTGGAGGGAGTCCAGGTCCACCGAAGTTCCATCGGCCTGCTTGATCATGACCTGAGGATCGCTTTGAGCAAGAAACTGTCGAAGACTTGAAGAAGCTGTCAAACAGCCTGAACCCTACAGCGCACGATTTCGACCTTAGTTCCATTAGCTGCCAGCCTTCCCAGCTTCAGCTGGCTCCTCCCGAATCCCCAGAGTAATCTGGTCGAACCAGGGGTCGTACTCCTCCTTGCCAGCCATTTCACTCGTAGACTGCGTTTTCTGAGGAGCGTCGGAGATGGTAAGAGCCAGGCGGCTGCGCAGACCAGGCATGCAAGCTGCTCTACACCGCTCTCAGAGTCTCAGGACATTGCACAAGGAACAACACATACACAATTAATTCTGGTGAAGGGCGTGAATCTCACCCGGGATCCCGGCAGCGGCGTCTCCATCTGCATAAAGATCAGCTCGGAGTTCGGAGCGACCTGACCCGACCACGCCACGAGAGCGCATCTCTTGCGTTGTCCCAATCTTCCCGGTGAGCACAGGGAATACGGCTTTTGACCTTTGCGCCCCTCCCAGCCCGGGCCCAACTCTTCAAGAGATGCCCTTTTTCAGAACTGAATGTGGGATCAGCTGCAATATGGCTAAACCTGCAAGGGAACAATGCCTGAAACTCTTAACCCTAGCCTTAGACTTTTTGTTTTCGGAACAGCCGCACAGAGGTGACCACTCCAGGAGCCAAACTTCCTCAGTCACGTGCCTCTTCTAGCCTATTCATAGTTCCTCGAACATGATGCGATCATGCACCCCAACAGCCTCTTCCAATTGTCAAGGCCACAATATGGCACCTTCCCAAAAATCCGATACATGGCCTCGGCAATGAGCTCTGACATCCCAGGCACGTCGACGCCCGAGGATCGAAGCCAAGGACTCATGGCCCCACCAAGGTCAGGGACTTCGGGTTGAGGGTTGGGGTTTGGGAAGTTAGGGTTTAGCTTTGAGACGTACTTCAGAACCCCAATGATTACTGGAAGTTGTAGTTGCGCTCGCAAAGCGTCCCAATTCTGGTAATTAGCTTTCATAGCGGAACCTTGTTTCGCGGACTGGTGCTGGCTGTGTCAGTTCTCGGCATCGTGCTGCTGCTGCTGCTGCTGCTGCTGCTGATGATGATGATGATGATACTGGCGACGACGACGACGACGATGACGATGACGGATGGTAATGATCACCAGCATGATCATGACCATAGTCGATCATGCTTTTGATGATAGTGATGATCACGACCATCATCATCATCATCATGATCATGTTCATGATCTTAATGATGACCATCATCATGATCATGATGGTCATGATGATCATGAGGTTGATCATGACCTTGACGACGATTGTGATGTCAAACAGAAAATGATGGTCATGACGAATGTGGCAACGTTCACTTGTCTCGCCCGGACATCTTGCTGCAACAGCTGTGCCACGTGGCTTCATTGCCTTTTTCCACTCGGCAACTGGCATGCTCCTCAAACCGTGATGTGCTGTCCAAGTTCTTTGGGGAGTCATGGAGCCAAGACACTCCAAACGCTAAGGCCGTCTAACAAGTAGCGTGCTTCGGGGTTCAGGGCATTCGGATTTAGTGTCTTGGTTCAATTAGGGCATGCTGATTTTCAATTTAACAGCTGTCTTATTGCAGGCAGGCACAGTTTGACTTGACTGCAGGCGCTGTCTCGGCCTATGGCGTTGGCAGGCCAAGTTGGCAGCAACACTTGAAGACATCGTGAGGCCGCTGTGGCATGGAAAAAAAATCAACAGGAAGCCGCCTTGTTGTGCGACTGAAGCATCCAAATCCCAAGCAGGGTTTGGACGTTGGTTTTTCTCGGAGACACGTATAAACGCAGTTTTGTTGGAATTGTAGAGTAAAGACATGTAAAGACCATGGCTTTTCTCTCGCGTCCATCTTCGGCACAGACACGTTCAGCACCAGTCTTCTGAGCACAGTTGCTATTACACAGCCCAGGAATTGTCGACCAGTGCTGTCCCTGCTCAACCGCCTGCATGCTGCAACGCGCGGAAGCTCCTCCCCCCCCCCCGCCCCCCCTTGTGCAAAAACCCGTGACCTGCGGCGCCTGCGCTTGCGCTTCCCTGGCCTCACGGGCACCGAGGCGAACCCAAGAAGCCGATCAAGAACCCGCCGGTTCTCATGAGGTCTCTTGCACTTTACCCTGGAGGACGGGTGGAGAGCGTGTGGGCTGGATGCCTGAAGTGCTGTATTACTCGGCAACTTCGGGCCTCTCAAGGGCGAAGCCGCGAGGAAAGGGCCCATCGAGCTTTCAAGAAGCTTCCGCTTGGAGTACCCGGAACCCTACACCCCAAAAGTCCCTAAACCTCTAAGCCCTGAAGCCTGAGCTAATCATCCAGAATCTTGTTCTACAAGCTCCCGACAACTTGAAGACCCCACTTTCCAAGGTGTGCGCGGGCGGACCTTCGGTGCTGGCCGAGAATCTTCACAACAGACACAGGGGAAAGGCATGGAAAGCCTCTACCTTCTACGAACAAACCCCAACGCCTAAAACCCTGAACCGTTGAAGGGATCAAGGAGGTGCCGACCCGGGGCGCACTGGATATATCCACACTTCGCGCACATGAGGATCAAGGCTGGTCTGCAAAAGACCTCAAGCAGCCTGAGTGAAACCGACTAGCTCAGAACCTGTGCGACCGAAGTTCCCATCTTACCATATGCGCGGCAGAACTTGAGCTATAGCCTTCGGAGCAAGTCCCCACAGACCACCCAGCGCCACAGTGGCCTCAAGAGCGGTCTCCTCACTGCTGGCCATAAGCATGCACATCTCGGGGCAATCGCTGCATGTGTCGTTGCAGCAGCAATGGCCTCGATCCCACTCGGCGCTCTAGCGTGGGAAAGCCGCACGACGTCTGGAAAGGGCTGTCAATGGGCTCATCGCACAGCCATGAGCTTCGGGAACTCTTTGCAAGTCTTTGGCAATCGGGGCAAAAGTGCATGGCACCCGCTGCCACCTCGAGTTACAAATTCGTTCCGAAGCTGATAAGCCAGAACAAAGGTACAGATACCTGACCAGGGTTGAGGAGCTGAAGAGGCTGGCCGGTTCCGCCTAGCCCCACTTGGCTCCAGAGATGCCCTTCTGTGGAAATAACGGGTACCCTTGTTAAGGGGATCTTGAAGTTGAAGATCCTACGTACTTCCGAAGGCTTGTGTTGGGGTCCCTCAACTTTGTCAACATCCTCACCCTGGGCAGAAACCAAAAGCTGCTCGTCTCACACTGAGGCCAAGTTCGTGCGGGGCGGAGTACTCCGGTATCCAGGCGCAAAGCGACAGTTGCAACCATGTCTACGTGCGACGACTGTTTGCAAGGCATTGACTTGATCCGTGGCCTGCGGCTGCTCTGAGAAGCTTTGGAGTCATCGAAACATGCCTGCCTGCCCGTGCCTGCGCCGAGATTCCAACCGACTGGAAACGATGACGCAAACACTTCGGCCACCACTCATGACCGTGGCTCCCTTGATTCTGGGTTTACAGAGCACCAAAACGCTTAGTCACGGTGTGCAGTCTTGCAGGAGCTACCATCCAGAATCGTGTACCAAGACTTCTGCCAGTTCACGGCCACGAAGCTTCCTTCTGCCTGCCCAGCTCCCTTCTTGCCACTTCCTGAGTCCTGGCGACCGAGTAACTAGTACGTCCGCCTTGGCTGCTTCGGAGAGGGACATGTGACAGGGCCGGACACGACCAAGATTACATGCAACAGCTCCGCCGCAGCTACGGCGTGCATCCGTGGGGTGTGCAGTGCCTGGTGTATGTGATGTGCAAGAACAGCACGAACAATGTAACCAAACAGCAGGATGAGCTGTTTTTCCCTAGATGGTTGCACTCAGATCCGCTAAAGACGGATGCCGCGACACGTGGGCTTAGCCTCAGCTCAACAAGAATGACAGTGCTAATCATTACTTCGAATGCTCACTGATGCCATTCGCGGCTTTCCCGAGCATGAAGACTTAATCCAACAAATCTACAAGGACCTGCGACACTGCGGCAGGATGGACCAATGGGCGACACTATCCAGAATCGCACGCCCCAGCTTCTGCTGGCCCAGGGACATTGGCCTTCACGTCATTGAAACCATTTCGTTCCCGAGCTTTGCATCCTAGCGACCTAGAACGTCTGCGTTGGCTGCTTCAAGGCTTCGGACAACGACATGTGACAGGACCGGAAACAACCAAGAACGCCTTCAACAGCTTCGCTACCATTGCTGCATCTGTGGGAGTGGCAGCGTCTGGCGCCTCTGATGTGTAGAACAAGACGAACAACCCAACCCAATAACAGCATGGGCTTAGGTCTTTCGACTCAGATCCGCTGCAGACCGACTCCGCGACACGGCATCGCCCCACCTCAGAAAGAACGCTCGTTGGCGAAATGTGCAGCTGTCGCCAGCATCAAATTCGACCTAAAGCAACAAATCTGCAAGGACGCGCGGCGCTGCGGCAGGATGGGCCAACTATCCAGAATCCCGCGCCCCAACTTCCGCTGGCCCAGGAACATTGAACTTCATGTCATCACCAGTTAGGTGCCGGAGCTTTTGAATCCTAGCGACCTAGTACGTCCGCCTTGGCTGCTTCGGAGAGGGACATGTGACAGGGCCGGATACGACCAAGATTACATGCAACAGCTCCGCCACAGGGACGGCGTGCATGCTTGCGGGGTGCAGTGCCTGGTGTATGATGTGTAAAAGCAGCACGAACAACCAGCAGGATGAGCTTAGATTCCTTAGATGGTTGAACTCAGATCCACTACAGACGGATGCCGCGACGCGTGGGCTTAGCCTCAGCTCAACAAGAATGACAGTGCTAATCATTACTTCGAATGCTCACTGATGCCATTCGCGGCTTTCCCGGGCATGAAGACTTAATCCAACAAATCTACAAGGACCTGCGACACTGCGGCAGGATGGACCAATGGACGACACCATCCAGAATCGCTCGCCCCAACTTCTGCTGGCCCAGGGACATGGAACTTCGTTGTGATTGCCTCTTCCGTGCCCGAGCCTCGAACCCTCGCATCCTAGCACCTTGCGCAGGGACATGCGTCACACGAAGCCTCTGTCACAGTCTTGCCTTGCATCTGTCTGTGGGGGTGGGGTCTGGTGCCTCTGATGTGGCACAGAACGACGAATCCAATCTAACACCACCAAAGGCAGCCATCTGCCCGTCATGTTCCTCGAGACGGGGTCAGATCCCCCATGTGTGAGAAGGCTCAAGCTGCTGCCGCCCCACCTCACCAAACATGAGAACACAAATACGTCGAGCTCGGGATAATGCCACTCGGGGCCCTCTAAGGCATGACAGTCGGGCTAGAGCGACAGATCTACACAGCCCAAATAAGCAGATAGGTTTGCCGCGGGCTCATGCACGGACAAGAGCAGTGGGTCAAACGGAACCGCGTACCTTTGCTTTTGAAATTTCCAAATAAGAGAAACGGATTATCGGTCAGCCTTGGGTACAAGGGATCTTGAGCCTCTTTAGGAAGCATCAGAAGGCGTTCCAGCAAGTCCCGACTAGTGTCTGCTTCGGCCACGTCGGAAAAGGACATCTGAAGCCCCCGCTGCATCTGCTCTCAGTGGGTGACGGTGTGCAGTCAAGCTTGGGCAATCCGGAGCTCGTCTTCCCGGGTCTCTGGCTCGGGGCAGCGCCCAAACCATCCAAAAGACTCTTCCATGACTCCGTGGGACTGGTGGCGGGGCTTTCGTTAGTAGAGCAACTGCTTGAGTCTTTCGGGGTTAAGGGGAGCCTTGCGGCATTCAGCCGAAACTTCAAGGGGCCTGCAGATTGCAGCACCCGTCTTGGCAAAAGATGCCCCCCATCTTTTGATGACATGCTCTGTCACCACGCATCCTCAGCAGCCGCCATCAAGGTACGGAGGATGCTTGCAGAGCACTTCCAGTCACACCAGAAAGCACCATGCATTGAAGGTTTCTGGGGCTCATATGTTTTATAAGAGGACAACTTCAAGAAGCAGAACCACCGAACCTTTGTGCCGAGCAGGAACGCAGAACTGTCCCAGCCTTATCTCCTGAGGCCGAATAAAGTGTTCACTCTTTTGATATGATTAATTTTATGGGCAGCTGTGGCAAGGTATGCTTGCAGCCGAAGTGACAGTAGCTGCCAAGAACTGCACAGTCCATCTTAAGTCCAAGTTCCCAACGGGCTGCTTTCCAGCGGGCTGCCCGCAATCGAAGTGAGCTGCAAGTGGGCACGCAGAAGTGCACACAGCCTGTTACTGGCCTCGAGCCATACATGTTAGTGCCTTAGCGCCTCAGCTTGCAGAAGCTCTGATCCCTGCCTAAATTACGTCGAACTTCTGGGCGCATGCAAAGGGGAAACTCACGAATGGCTCGGAAGCCGGGCAAAAACCGATAGGCACTTGCCAGATGCCCGTACGGACGCAAGAAATGCAGAAGCCATGCGTCTCGGACCTCAGGAAACGCTCCATTACTAGCAAACCCGGCGTTTTCCGCGGCTTCGCTTCATTTAGCCAGGTGCCTGTGTTATATCGTCCGGCAAGCACTGAGAATACCTGGTGCGCCGAATTAGTTGAAGGGACAGAAGTGCTCCTCTAGAACAGGGCTTGTGAGGCAGCTTCTGCAGGCCATTCGACATGACGCCCTGGCACCAGAATGCACCAGAGGAAACTGCTTGGAGCTTTGCCTTCGAAGCAAAGACACGGTTGAGACCGGGCGGTTTCAGAGGTTCCTGCCTCGGACTCCCACATCACTCCCGAAGCCGACAGCGTCCCCATGACAAGACTGGTCTTTTCGCACGGGCACCCGCACCTCTACAGTCCCGATTGGTATCAGATTCTCGGCTCGATCTTTCAACACCGGCTGCGGTCGGCCACTTCGAGTTCTGGCTTCCCGGCTCGAGAAGATAGATGTATCACGGACATGTGCAGGTTGCAACCACGGGCATCAAAGGCAAAATCATAGCTGAAGCAAGAGCAGCTCCCTTCCAATCACAGGAAGCAGCTAAGAACATGCAGCAGTCTTCAGGGGTAAAGAGGCAAGGTATGGAGGAAGGCGAAGGTCCAAGGGCCACTTCGGAAAGGATCGGGGTAGTCTCCTACGGGCATGCGGGTTTCTGCCCGAACTTGCCCATTATACCCCTTCCGCGAGGTAAAGGGCCGAAAGGGCCGCTGTTGGCCTGGGAGTTTACGGCTTCCAGCTTCCGCGTTTCTGTGTTGGCCACTGCCTAGGAGAGATTGCCTGCGAAGGGAGCAAGATACCTCCTGCGAGATGCCCCCTTCCGATGTAAGGCAATTCTGCTCCTGCTGCCCAAGTCTTGCAGTAACAACAGCCTGCATGCAATCGCCGCTTTTTCCGGCCTCTTGTGCCTCTGATTCCCGATGCATTAGGACGTGTTGCCAGGGGCGCCAACCAGCCACGAGCCAGCCTGAGAAAGGGACTGCTCGGAAATGCTGACAGCCCAGTATTTATGGGTCTAGGGAAAAGGGATTCCTGCTGAGAAGGAGGCAGCAATCTGGCCAATCGTGAGGGGAGTGGCGATGGTTGCGGGACAAAGGCGTCGCACAGCCTCTCAGATCCGACGCTGCGACTGCGCATTGCACGACATCAACTGACACCCAGCTAGGCTCTCTCCCGATAGTTTCCGAATTAGTTTACTGGGTTAAAAGGATCCTAAACCTCGAACTTAGGCTCTGGGGTTTGAGGCAGGCGCTCCAAAGACACCAGCGACCTCAGCCCCAACTCTGAAGTCGTCTGCCACCGCCCACCTCACCCTAGCAGGCTGTCATCCGAAGCATCATCTCCAAGGAAGATGCAGCTAAACTCGACGGTGGCTTCGCAGCATGTCTCGTCGTGCCGCGTCGAGATGCAACCGACTGCAGACCTTGCTCCAAGTTTTAAAGGGCTCCGCACCCGCCCTGCTGATGGCTTGGCGGTCATGCAATAGTAGCCACTCTCACTAATCTCCATGGGGCAGACGGCTCATGGCCGCAAAATGCCGCCAAGTCATACCCTCACATAGCCAACTACAGTCTCCTTGTCAGCAGTCTAAGCAGGACTCACGTGACAAGGATGACAGAAATCCTTGGGGTCACTTCCAGCATTGCATTGCTCATGGCGCTAGAAGTCCTCGGAGGGCTGCGCGGTGCGCGAGCACGGTCCTGCGAGCTGCGCTGTGGCGAAGCCGCGCACGGAAAGCCCAGAAGCTCGGGGGAAAGGCACCCAAGATCCCTACCCGCAGCACAGCGGAGCCCTGCAGAGTCTTCTGGAAAGCTAGAGCAAGGCCAGCTTGCCACAGGTGTAGGCCACTGCGTTTAGGGACCTTTGAGGAACTTATGGCTCTGCGATGCTCAAAGGGCCGTCGTCGCAGGAAGCTGAATGGTGCAGACGGTCCCGTTCGAGCCTTCTTGGAGGCAGAACCAGCAGAAAGCCAAGCCAACAGGTTCGCAAAGGGCCAAGTAGACAGCAGAAGATAGCAGAACTGGGGGACCGGGCAATTGCAGCTACAGTCTTGCACGGCAAGATTCTATGTGGGGTCAAGACTTTCTCGAGCGTCCAACACAGACCGGCCTGCGTGAGAGGTTGGTAGTCAGGAAGCTCAAGTCAGATCTCTTCGTCACTGACCTGTCGCAGCCTTGAAGTGTGGAACTCCTCCTCTGCCCCTAAGCGAATGCTCGTGCGAGCAGACTGTTTCCCACCCGGAAGACCCACCATCCTACCGGTCCTTGCTGCCCCAGAGATCCCCGTCCAGGGCCCAGAGAGCCCTCGTTTCGCTGGGATTTGGCTTAGCTGGGCTGAGGCTAAGGCTCGGAAGCTGAGGATGAAAGCCGGAAGAGAGCCAGGGGATTCTGGCACTCGAGAAGCCCTAGCAGCACGACCGGGGCTAGAGTCGGACCAGAGTGAAGTCTCAAGCTTCTGGATGGGTCAAGTAGGCCTGCAGGTCTCTCCGGGCACTCGTGCATACTCTGCATGCACCTGGGCGTGGTGCTACACTTGCCCATGACTGTCTTGCATGCGGGCGTGCCATCGTCCGGACGGCCGGCAACTCAAGAGACTGCCGTGCAAACAGCTGGCCACCGAAGTGCTTGGAGGGAATCTCGGCAAACGGACTGCCGTTGTCGCAGAAGCGAAACCGCAGGAATGAAAGATTCTTCACAAGCGTGCTGATGGCCTCAGCGGTCGTTGCCTGCATCTGTTGTAAACAACTACAGCAGCTCCCTTCCTTTCGCTCTCTCTCTCTCTCTCCCTCTCTCTCTCTGTCTCTCTCACACGCCAGCTGGACCAGGAAGCGCATCTTTTTGGTCCTTAGGTCTTGCAGCGCCATGCTGCTGCCACTATCCTTGTGATTGCGCTGATGGTCTCAGGGTCGCAACCTGCCACCACAACTACAACCCACCATGGACACGGTTTTCCTGCCGTTGTAAATAGGAGAGCTCTGCGAGTTGAAAGTGCTCCAAGATTAGCTCGCTGATGATGCTCTTCCGGACAGCGACTGCCTGCAACTGCCATGTTCTTGCACCACTGGTGATCCCAGCTGCACAGAGCAGGCCTGCAGGCGCAAGTGACCAACGCCATGGGACGGCGGCATCCCGGCTAGGGGCAAGCTTTGCCGGAAGCACGTGCAGCCAGAGCCATGCGCGGCCTTACGCGTGAGCGCGCCTCGGAGCTGTCAATCGAAAGAACTGATGCAGGCGAAGTGGCTTCAGGGGTGCAGCTGCTGTGGATGCACTACGACACCAATTTCAACAAGCCAGGGGACATGAAATCAATTCACAGGTCTTGCCGTTAGGCGTTTACAGTTTCGGCTTTGGGGTGCAACTGCTGGATACACACAGTTTTACACACGTCTGCCTCTCTAAGCAGTGCCAGGAGTCTGCGCAAGTCCTGAGCGAGAAGCCCTCTCCAACTGCGCAGCTTCTTGGTGCAGAGAAGCATGTCCTGCTTCATCATGGAGCACGTAGTGACCAACTATGGCCCATGGCCCTCGCAATGGAGCCGGGAAGGATCCATTTTACCGAGGAAGTTTCTAGAAGCTTGCCTGGAATCGAAGATTGCAGCACGTGAGGCTGATACTCTCCTCGAGCCATTATTCCAGACTCAGCCTGAACAAACTGGGATACCTGACTAAATCATGTCGAACTTGTGGGCGGATGCAAAAGGGAAACTCGCCAATGCCTTGGAAGCCATGACAAAACCGATAGACACATGCCAGATGCCCATACGGACGGAACACGAACAGAAGGTATCTCGGACCTCAGAAACGGCTCCAGCACCAGCAAACCCAGCGTCTTCCGCGGCTTCGCTTAGCTGGGCTTTCACATTCAGGACAGCTTGTTTAGACCCTCAACACGTGCAGTCAACCGAGCCCGAAGTGGTAAACTCCTTCATGCGAGGCCGAAGGCCGGCGTGGGCCTGGGAGCCTTGGTCCAAGCCAGTTGTGCCAGCGCCTGCCACAGCCGAAGGCGATCTCTCACATCGAAACTGCACTTCTCTGTGTTGCAGAGAACCACAACCACCGCAAGTCGGTGCGCTCTTGCTGCGGATGCTTTCGTGCCAACCACGGCCTCAGCTCTTGTTGCTTGAGGGAACAATTATCTGCACCAGTGCCCATCAAGGGGCAGTGCATGGGAGGCCCCACGTGTAAAGTTTAAAGGTTTCAACTTCACGCAGGCTTTCCCATTTAGGCCTTACTGACGGTTCGAGTGCTCAGGTGTGCGGTTGAAGTGGGCGTGTCTTGCCTCTTGGCTGCTGCGCCGACACTGTGAGACTGTGGACCCGGCCTTCGGCATGCCCAATGTTGTCTTCACGTGCTCCACCAATAAGTAAAACTTCTATGTTTTGTGCCTCCCGCCTGCTTTGGCAAAGGGGGAATCTTCGATGTGTGCTTGCGCCCTATCCTAGGGCAAGCAAGACCGTGCACCACAGGCGAGCGCGAGTGCTGGCAGGCTTTCAGCTGCGCCGCGGCAGACCAGGGAACATGCAGGAACTCAAACAAGGCCTTTGTGGCAAAACGGCCGAACCTGTTGCGAAGAAGCGGAAGATGCACACTCGCCTGAGGATGCAACCTCAACAGCCCCTGAGCAAAGCAGAGGGGCAGGCAGAAACTGCAGAATACACTTTGCACTCCGCCACAGACACGAAGGCATTTGTTGTAGGATCGCGCGCTTGGGCCCACATCCTGCAGCTACTTCGTGCGCACCATAACCCCCAACCCTCGGCCCACTTGTGCCGGATACGGAAACCGATAAAACTGTAAAGGAGCGTATCCTGCATCTATGCGACCAATCCCACATTTTCTACTGTAGATATGGGGTATATCCCTGGTAGCGCTCCGACGCGTCACAACGAAAAAAGCGCGTGCGGCCTGGCGCTCTGATGGTAGGCGAGTCAATGCAAACCGAGTCGAGGCCCTTTTTTGGATGCCGGCAAGTCTTCGTAGGGCTTTGGGTTTAGGGTTTAGGGTTTAGGAGACTGAGTTCTGGCACCAGCCCGATCGAAACACCTTTGCCAGGATGCCCAGGCACCATCACTGCTCCCGAAACTCGGACCAGATCATGGTACGAGGAAAATGCGCGCTTGCGCTTCGCAAGCCCACGCAGAACGCAGCCCTTGAAGCCTCAGCTGGGGAAAAGGGAAAAAGGAACCAGGTGTTCTTAGGGCCAAGCTGCATCAAAGTAACCTTGACGGAGCATTCAGACAGTCAGATGCCGGAAAGACCTTCCTCAGGAGCGGATAAAGGAGTCGTGCGGAGTAGCTACATTCACAGCTTTTCGCCGCACAGCAAGAACAACTTAATCCATCTCTCCAAGATGTCCCCAAAGCCTATGCAAACCTGAGCCGCATTCGGCCGAAGCTCCTGGATTGCAGCACTGCTCTGACAATCTGGTTGAGAGCTCCAGGCAGAAGGCATGACTGGAAGCCAGGACCGCGCCTGCAGGACGCACCGTCTCTGCCCAACCCTCCCCTGCCACAAAAAAGAGTGGCTCTAAAGATATTGATCAAGCAACCTAGCTGGATGGCTTCTCATTGATCCGCGCTGGATCTTGACGAGCTGGGAAGAGATTCCAGCACCAGTGTCACAGCCTGCAACAAACGACTCCGTCAGCAGCAGCAACCGCTGCACTTTCCGAAACGGCAACCGAGACACCTGCCAACCAACGTTTTGGCAATGCTTGGTCGCGTCAGGGATGCCACGCCATTGCCCGATCGAGACTAACGGTCTTAAAATTCGACTTGAAGAACAGCCCTTCAGCCTCTTGACCTTCGCCCTTGCAACAAACGGAATCTACCACGAATTGTGAAGATGGTCGTAAGCTTGGGTTGTAGTCATCGTAGTCTCGACAAGAGTCACTAGGTTGAAAGAAACACTCCCCCCAAGTTGCTTGAAGCATGTGCATGGAAAATCAAACATCCAATTTGTTGCGGTGGTTCACGACATCATCTCAAGCTCATGTTCATGCTCTGCTTCTGAACAGCATTCGGCAGTGCATCCCATTTGACCTTTCCAACTATGAAAGAGAATGGAAATCGACTGTGACAAAGTGCATTCTGCCTGGAAAGCATTCGACAATGGTGGAACCTGATGTAGACTCCAAACGATAACCCCTATGATGAGGACTCCACAGAAAAAGAGGCCCGCTAAGTCTAAAGACCCCCCACATTGCTTGCACAGCACCTTTGGCCCAGTTTCACCTGCTGAGTCCGTTGGCTTCGCAGGCTTCGGCATGGCAGCATTAAACACCCGACCTTCTGCACAGCCGAATCATCTGCTCATCGGCATGGATTAAGAATTAGGGTTTCTTATTTGGGATTTCTTCAAAGGTTTAGGGTTTAGGGCCGTCCAGGGAGCGATGAAGACCGCTTTGATCAAGGAGAAAGACAAAGTAGAAGTGGAAGCAGAGGATAGGAGAAGAAGCGCGGTAGACCCGGTAGACCTCTGATGCATACACCCAACCTTTGCCCCAACAAAT